CCGTTGGACACTAGCTTTGTAATCTGAGTGACTCATTTAGTAATTTAGGGTCCTTACTTACCTAGCTTTGTACCCTAACCTAAGACAGTTGAGATATGGCTCAGGGATATCTCGCGGAGGACCCTAGGTTGTTAAATAAGAACCCTGGGTACAGAGTCAGTGCATTATGATACAAAGTTAGGGCCCAAGTATATCTTAGTAAGGACCCTAAGTTGCTGAGTAAGGGTCGATGTCTTATTTCCTTAGTCAGCGGGCGAGGGTTCTTGGTAGCTTGAATTTAGTAAAGGTTATAGAATATCCCAGTTAGGCCTCAATACAGAAACAATATATCTAATTAGCATTTAAGATACTAGCCGCCGTAGATATACTTGTTTGGAGACAGATTTCGATAACAATGGAATTATGCATACGTCATTTATTGAAACCAAATGCCATCCTGGAGCATAGAGCTTATAATAAAGATTGACGGTTGATGATGCTGGAGGATTACAGGAAGGATGTTAAACTTGTCAATAGCCTGCGCCATGACTATCCCTGGCATCAACTTAATGTCTAAAATTAATATGAAAGCTGCAGGAAATAATGACTCTGTCAGAGTTACTGAAGTTCACTTTTTTTAAAAACTAACCTGCTTTTTTGGAGAGAATATTCAACATTGTTTTTACGAAAGAAAACGGTGCAGTTTTGAATTTGGAAAATAAAATCAACGGAGATAAATCAGGGTATTAAGGCCTATATACATATCTTCATTAGTACAAAAATATTGTCGTAAATGTATTGTCGGTTTTTGTCGCTTTTTCGAATTGGTCTACAATATTATAACATATTTAGTCTGGATACGCTGTTTCGTCTTTTGACGTTCCTCAACTTTTCGTAAGAAAAAATAGAGTTGTCTCCCTTCGCGTAACTCTCTTTTGGATGAAACGGACGATACTTGGAAGACAGCACATGTTGGATAGTGTGAGTACCTATTTTTGGTTTCTAAAAAGATGTATGGCAAAATCATCTCTAACCACGTATGTCATAATTTACAGTGTGTTCTGCGTAAAGCAGAGTCCGACATTCTTACCTCCGATATATACAGTATAATGCTGTCAGTAGTTTATATCGACTTACCAAACAACAACTTTATTCGGAAGGAATTCGTTTCACAAGATACTTATAAATATACCATTCGGCACAGCTTACTTTTTAATTTGCCTGCATAATTTACGAAAATGTCCTCATCTCGCAAATAGCCGATACATAACATCATTTCAGCGGAAATTTCAGTGACACCGAGAAATTCTGGAACAGGTCCATAGCTATCTTGTAGAGTATAATCTAGTTACCCATAAAAAATTAGGACAGTATCTTAAAGAGCTAACATTGACCTGTAAATACAGTATATCAGTTATGTAGCCCTTAACCCGATGACTCAACGCAGTGACACCCCTTTTGCGCCTGATATTTGGACCGCAAAAAAAAAAAAAACGTGTTTCAAGATATTTGGAAAACATCCGAGAATTGTGGTCCCATAGCGTTCGTGTCGTTGCATTATTACGTCCTGTAACTAATTTTCATTCTCATGTCTATGAAACCATTTCAACACCTATTTGTTCCATGCTAAGAAATTTATGGACGCAATTTCCACACCTCATTCTTTCTAATGACAAGTCTAGAAAAGGCATGTATGCATCTATTCAGACATGTTGAATGATCTGTCACAAAAATCCACAAACAGAAGAGGCCTTTAGTGTGAATTTCGGTCATAAGGAAGATGACACAACGACGTCTATGTCTCAGGTGAGGTTCAAATAGAAATTTACGTAAGACTACTGAATATGTGTTACTGATTAAAACTAAATATACCATATAGGCATATATGTACAAAAGTTAAAGCATATTAACTTTATTTTTCATAATCAAGAAAATTATCAAGTACTTAAATATTGAAATTGATGAAATGATGATAATGAACTGTTCCAGTAATGGTATGGTCATAAAGCTACCGTATTTCATAGTTGGAAAAGAAAAAGAAATATAAACGGTGTAACGAAATTAGAAATTTAAAATTGTAATTAATGTGTAAAAGATTCTGGTAGAATGTATTTTTAACAACCTGCTTGTGACCATACATTGATATTATTTCGTATGTTAATAATGAGTCGGTCCCAAATACAATATGGCCACCATTTTAAAAAAAATAATTTGAAACAAAATACACATTTCAATGTCTTAAAGTTGACGTTCAAAGAACAAGTGATTCTCACAAGGCTTTTCACAGTTACAAACTGTATCTTCAACAAGATTCACTCGAAAAATGTCATATTTGAGGGTACTACAGTCATGCCTCAGTTAAGTATTACATGTGGACTGTTTGTTAGTATATAAACATGTACGTGCTAATATATATTAAGTGTATGTATGCTTATGCGTACATGTAAGTAAAGTCTGTTTGTTAGTATACGAACATGTACGTGCTAATATATATAGTGTACATTTTGTATGTATGCTTATGCGTACATGTAAGTAAGGTCTGTTTGTTAGAATACATACAATGTACTTGTATCCGGGATACCGCCACCCGTACCCCACCCACACGCACACACACACACACAGATTTTCATGTCCGTTCCGGACATTAGAAACTCAGACAGGTTGGTGAGCTGTTGTTCATAAATTTAATTGTACAATGACTGCATTTGAGTTCAGGTTCATTACCTTTACCGCGTCTCCCTAATACAACAGGACATGGTTAACATTTCAAGTAATTGGAACACTTCTTTATGTTTCAATCGGGTTTCGATATGGTTGATAATCATTGCGCTGTTGTAAACCACACAAAGCATTGCTTTACGTTTCTTATGTAGAGGAAATCTGACTCTCGATCACTTTATGATATCCTGTTCAAAACCTGACTGGATTACTGTTTGCATAGGAATGAGAAAATTTGTGTCTGTTAAACATTTTTATAGATGTTAGATAAAGTCTTTGGAACTGAAGCCCAGGATGGATCATTCTCAAATAAATTTCTTTGGTTGATTTTCAGTAGGCCGTAGGTAGGTCCCGATGAAAGATTTTTAAACGATATTTTTGAGAATTACTGGACGGATCTTTCTCAGATTTCAGAAGTATGCATTCCTTGGTCCAAAAAACAAACTATCATCATTGATTTCGACAACGAAAATTTGTTATCGCTACTTCTTTAGAAACACAGAATAGATCTTTCTCTAATTTGATGTGAATATTTTCGTTAATCCTTAATTATGTTCCTTTGTTTTTTGGACTGACGAGAACAACAAAATTGCCGACAGGTGACCATCTTGGATTTGAGAGTCAAAGATTATAATCGCTGCTGTATCTTTTTTTTTTAATTTTCAGTACTTAACCTGTGTTTAGTAACTTAATGAAGATTGTTTGTTGTTAGAAAAATAGTAGCAAAAGTGTTATTATAGATATTGTAAGCTGAAGTAAATTTTCGGTACGACTTTTATCTTTTTATGTATACCTGTTTTGGTACCACACTTACGGAAGCGTATTAGTGCAACTTTTTGAAAAAAATATTTTATGATTTACAGACATTAATCTGTGAATTTTACACATTAATCTGTGAATTTTACACTTTTATCTGTAAAATTTACAGATTGATTTGTAAAATTTACAGATTTATGTGCGTAAAACATAAAATCAGAAAAGTTTTAAAGTTGCACTAATACGCTTCCTTATACACTAGATATCCCGAAATGTTACAATTTTCTTAAGTGATATACAAATTCTTCTCACATGTTAATCAAAAAGAACAAATATCTTTCTACTAACCTACGCATTTATAAAAGTTATCGAATACCTTTAACGAAATATAATCACTAATATCCCCAACACATTTAAAACAGCGGAAATTTCAAACATGTGCTTGACACTGGATGTAGAGGTAAATGGGTACACACATTTAGCGAACGACCGCTGGTGTTTTCAGTTTGTTCTTTCTCACCACTATGGTTTGAGAAGATTTGTAGTGCCGAACTAAACAATAGGGTTTTTAAGTGCCATTATCTTGTGTCTTTCAGTACAATGCTTAGTAATGGTAGGGTGGTTAATGGTTTGTGAATGTAGTGTATATCGGTGTTACGGTTACAAAGTAGTCCAGGTGATTTGCGAGTGTCCAGTATCTGTAAGCTATAAATAATAACTGCATGAGTCATAGAAGGACGAAACAGCTATATAATGAAGTTTAATTCATTATTTGACAATGTTGTGTTCGAAATTGCACTAATAAGCTTCCGTACACAATAGATATCCCGAAATATTACAGTTTTCTTAAGCGATATACAATGTGAAAAAGGTATCATTCCAGCTGTACATCTGGACTTTGATTCCAGTCCTCGTCATACCAGTCATCAGACATACTTCCCAATCCAACAGAAATCAATTATTCCGATTGACTAAGGCTTTGTAGATTTTAAAGTTTATTGTACAATATGGATTTTCGTTAGATGTGAATATCAATCATTAGTTAAAGTTTGGAGTCAGATCAGAGCTAGTTACCAATTTCAATCATAGGATTTCGTTTATCTTCCTTATCGTCATTATGCCCGAAGGCTATAGGCAGATTGAATGTTTACATGGCAGAAATGCATGTTGCCATAGGTGAATATGTCAAGTAACCAGGAAATCGTTCTGCATTTATATGAATCACTCTTCCTTGTTTGATATGGTATATAAATCCTTTCTATATCTTGATACTGGATCGGTCTCCAGATACGTATCCTCTGGAACGTATCCCAACAATATACCAATAAACAAGAACACTACACTTGTGGACTTGGGACCTCCAACATACCTGTTTGTCAACAACACGGAGGACTTCTATTTCAAGCGATCAACGCAGTTATCTAGTACGTAAATCTGTTCTTTTCTTCCTCTTTTTAAAGTGAACATTTTTGCAGCATTTATCTATGAAATTAATGAGAGGGAAGTTCACACCTTTTGATAGGGAAATACATTTTGCAATGCGAGAAATGGCGGACGCAAATACGAAAGGCGACGAGGACCTAAAAGTTACTTTACAGAAAATGCCAGAAAACGTAAGAGGAAGGAGTCAGAAAAGAGGACAGACAAGAATTTACAATAGACAATAGATCGATAGATGGCGAAATATGAAGGAGGATCTTGGACTGAATACGGATTCGGAATTTGTGAAGCTGCTACTTGACTGGTTAGCTTAACGTCAGCCCTATAATTATAACGTATCCGCCAGTCATTGATTATAATCCAATATCCAGTGTTTGACGCGTGAATATGTTATGAACAACACTACTAAAAGTGTTATCTGATAAATGTTGAATGAAAATAGTTGTGTTATTCGCTTGAATTTACTATCGACAACGTGTGTGTGTTGTTGACTGCAAGGTGGGGCCCAATTGGGGGTATTTGTTCTAAGTGTAAAAATATGACGGTACTGGTTTTACTGTAAGAATGACAACCGTGATGATAAACATATACTTCATAATAAACAGCGCAATATCTATTAATGTGTACACATTTCTGCACAATGAATTTATTTTTCTTTTACGATTGTATTTACCCCCTTTGGGACCCCAATAGTTTAGCGCACGACAAAGCCAAAACAAAACTAATTGCTAAGATTGATTGTTGAAAATTATATATTATAACACTATAGAATCATTTACTGCAAACAAGAATTAGCAGAAAGGCGCAAAAGCAAGTGTCATACATAAGACATGTGCGTTTGTTTACCTCGTAATCCATTTTCTTTGCGGCGGATGTAAATGACTTCTTCACGTGACAAGCCATGTGACCCACTCGAAATCTAAGGTAATAGCCGCTTTAAATAACCTGGCATACAAGTGCTTGAGTTGGTATCTGTACAATATCTAATTACAAGACTAAACTTCCCTTAACCATTGTAAACGAACAGTCACATTATACCAGAAATGTGCGACAAAATTAGAGACACACGTTAATGAAATATCTTCTATTACAACAGATAAAAAATTATTAGAAAGCACCAATCAATAAAACATCATTAGAACATCTTGACGTCCGAAGTACCCACAAAAATTTAATTACTAAGTTAGTGTTCAAGGCTACGATAGGCTTTTGACATGGCAATGCGATTTTCCATTGTATATTACAATTGTGACAAACTTCATATCCAGTTGTTAAACCCCCTCTTCAGCTTATCCATGTACCAAAGTCCTGCTCAGCACCTAACGATCACGTTATATTAATGACTTCTGTCAGAAAATCTTCAGTGTCTCTTCACTTAATATTACTTTCCTACCAAACCAAAATTTAAATATTTCAATAATCTCCTTATGGATGCCATTTCAAATTAAGTCCCAACATTATTGCAACAAGGATGAGTGATCGATAAAAATAATGAATGATCAAGGTAGCCAGACCAAACATGTCTGACTCGTCAAAAATATAAGATCTAATGATATAATGTTGATACCTTTCACACCTGGTTACTTGACATATTCACCTATGGCAACATGTATTTCTGCCATGAAAACATCTAATCTGTCCATAGCCTTTGGGCATAATAACGAAAAGGTTCTGGATATAGCTCATATTTACATTTTGCTCAATACAAAATACGAGGTTTTACTGATATATGTATAATAATTTTGATGTTATTTTAGAAATGATTTATTGTGGTTTAGCTGCCAACAAGTGCATATGAGAAACTGTCACATTTTCATTAGGAAAAATATCTTGTTTAGAAAAAGAGAACATCTAAAGTTGTTAGCAGCTGTTTGTCTTTGCAGTTATATAGAGGCTATCGTGGAATTTATTTTATTTTGGAACCTTTTTTCGAGAGTTATTTTCTTTTTTTTAAATGTTCAATACAAATTGGGGATATTTTGTTATCAATCGAAACGGGGGAGTTTTATTAGGTTTGTCCGTCTGTCTTTCACACTTCTTTTCCGTTCAATAACTTTAATAAAAGTTCACAAATTTTCTTCAAAATTGGTAACAAGGTTTAAAGACTTAAGGCCCAGTCGAGTTCAATTGCGACACTTTTGTCAGACTTTATTTGCTGTACTTTTTGCAGCTTTAAATTTACTTTTTCATTCTGTTGAGTTTTAATGATATGTTTACTCCTGACCTCAAAAATGTTTACCAACAATATGCCAGGAAAACTGTGGATATGAAATCCAGGAATTTGCTTGTTAATTATGATGGTTGTGCTATATAATAGTTGAAATTGTGAAGTTTTACAGAAATATTCTGTACAATTTAATATACCTGTTACCTTTGGAAGACAATCAATGCATTGCAAAGCAGCCAGAACATTGTGTGTGATGGATATCCATACAATGATTTTGAGAATGTCTACAATTGAATCAAAACTCTGAATATTATCATTATATAAGGATTTTTAATCCCCACAAATCTTTAAAGAATGTTCAGTTATCTACAACGAACTGTATCATCACAGATTCAATACTCTTGTAAACATTGGAAGCCTAACTATAAAAATAATACGGTGCTATTAACCATAATGATTCATTTCAGGTAACATATCAAGATAATAAAAGTTGTCAAGTTTTCATAGTTTAAAATACAATTTCATGCAAAAAATTTAAGACATTTGTGTTTCCAGAGTTAATTGATTTGTTGGGGTTTCTTTGTGAAAAATTTTGGCAAATAAAATCTTGAAAAATGTCTATACTTCGATAAGCCTCTTTTCAACAATTCAGATGTCGTAAATTTAAATATATGAGGCACATAATGTATCATGTGTTTGTTAAGGTATAACTGAAAAAAATATCCTGGGGGGAAATTCTGCATATCATAATTAATACTAATACTATAAACCTATTATTATTGATACATACAACCTTATAACCAGGGGTGAAACGTACCAATCAATTAATTAGACGTTAGTAACATATACGACCTTTTCTGATTGATTTTGACATGATTGATCTCAATCAGAGAAGGTCGAGAACGTTAAAAAACAGATTTTCGCAGTATGTTAGGCAGTTTTTAAAACAACGTTTTCACAAACTGAAAAAGTTACAAAGGTATCAAACGTGTAATACTCATATAGTTTAAGTTTTATCGATTTACTCACAGCTTCGTGAGAAATTTTCAATAACACTTAAGGCCTTCTAATACTATGACATCGGTGTATATTGACCAAGTCATATGCATTTTCTACCAGTGTTATTTAACATTGTTTTCGTGAAATTTTGTAAAAGTATTTGAGTTATGTGATAAACAGAATCTTAGATGTGTTTCCATTTCATCTGGGATTTTTGAAATTCGTCAACAATATTTGTCGTTTTCCCTGGTATCGCCATGTAAAATCCATGTATAAATATCGTTAAGACCTCGGTACATTTTATCCTTGCTTGTGACGGCGTGGGAGATTCAATAACTGATAAGCGAGGGTGAAGTACTACAGATATGATCTTTTGACAGTAGAAAATTGGAGTTCATTGGTATGGTGCAATAATCACATGTCGTATTTAAAGAATCCGAGTTAACATTACAGATTTCAGAGATCCTAACATCCACCTGTAATTGTTTGTTGCGTGTTGTGTCCTGATTAGACGAGGAAAACCCTTTAAACACGGTAATGTAGCTGCGCTTTCTTTGTGTAAATTGTATTCCGTTATATAATTTATTCTCTACAGTGCGAATAAGTAGATAATTGTTAAAGTTGTGGATCTGTGACAGAGGCCGTTTGTTGGTATGCACAAACATAATTGTCCAAAGGTTTAATGTCGAAGGACATTGCCGTCATCAAGTCCGTTTTATCTTCTATCATTCTTTTAGGTACATTTTTTGGATATGTTGGGTGAATCATTTTTTTATTTCAATTGCAGGCCTTAAGGTATTCGGTTGTTTATTTTGGTACTGACAGGAAAAACAAAATGGCAAATAGGCAGCCTTTTTAGGTTTTGTCAGTTGTATATTGCTATCTCTATTTCTTTGGTTTTAAGAGTACTTCCACCATTGTTGTATATGAGTATGATATTATAATATACTGATGGCTGATAGAGTACTTCCACCATTGTTGTATATGAGTATGATATTATAATATGCTGATGGCTGATAGAGTGCTTCCACCATTGTTGTATATGAGTATGATATTATAATATACTGATGGCTGATAGAGTACTTCCACCATTGTTGTATATGAGTATGATATTATAATATACTGATGGCTGATAGAGTGCTACCTCCATTGTTGTATATGAGTATGATATTATAATATACTGATGGCTGATAGAGTACTTCCACCATTGTTGTATATGAGTATGATATTATAATATACTGATGGCTGATAGAGTACTTCCACCATTGTTGTATATGAGTATGATATTATAATATACTGATGGCTGATAGAGTGCTTCCACCATTGTTGTATATGAGTATGATATTATAATATACTGATGGCTGATAGAGTACTTCCACCATTGTTGTATATGAGTATGATATTATAATATACTGATGGCTGATAGAGTACTTCCACCATTGTTGTATATGAGTATGATATTATAATATACTGATGGCTGATAGAGTACTTCCACCATTGTTGTATATGAGTATGATATTATAATATACTGATGGCTGATAGAGTACTTCCACCATTGTTGTATATGAGTATGATATTATAATATACTGATGGCTGATAGAGTACTTCCACCATTGTTGTATATGAGTATGATATTATAATATACTGATGGCTGATAGAGTACTTCCACCATTGTTGTATGAGTATGATATTATAATATACTGATGGCTGATAGAGTGCTTCCACCATTGTTGTATATGAGTATGATATTATAATATACTGATGGCTGATAGAGTACTTCCACCATTGTTGTATATGAGTATGATATTACAATATACTGATGGCTGATAGAGTACTTCCACCATTGTTGTATATGAGTATGATATTATAATATACTGATGGCTGATAGAGTGCTACCTCCATTGTTGTAAAATAACAAAGCAAAACAATAGCTGTAAGATAATAACCTCAATTGCTGTAAAACAATATTGCATAATGATGTTTGATCGTGTACTAACTATGTTGCTGTATAATATGAGTATACTAATATAATATCATGATGGTTGTTGGAGTGCTGCATTCATAGCAAAATAATATGACTATACTAATATAATATTATGATGGTTGACGGAGTGCTACATTCATAGCATAATGATATCTGATTGATAATTACATTAATTGCTTTAAAACAATATTACATATGACTGTAGACAGAGTACTAACTCCATTGCTCTAAAACAATAAAGCAGAATGATTGCTGATACAGTATTACTACCATTGCTGTAAAGTAATATAATATGATGATGGTTATCAGAGAATTACCTCCATTTCAGTATAATGAAGCATAATGATGGTTGACAGAGCTGTAAAGTAACATAATGATGGTTATCACAGTATTATCTTTATTTCTGTTTAATATACAGTATGCTTATATGATATTATGACGGTTGATAGAGTGCTGCATCCACTGCTTCAAAGTCATATAGCATAAAAATGGTTTTCACTACCACCATTGATGTATATAAGTATAATATTTTAATATATTGATGGTTGATAGAGTACTACCCCATTCCTATATAACGAAGCATAATGATTGTTGGCAAAGTACTACCTCCAGTGATAAAACATATTGATATCTAATAGATTACTTCCTCCATCGATATAGGATAATGTGTCACACTATTGGTTGATAGAATTATACCTTTATTGCTGTATAATAAAGTCCTTTTCTGATTTTATGTTTTCAGAAACTGAAGATAGCAAAATTTTTTCTGCCGTTATTGATGGTTATAGCATGTACCTTGCTTTGGTTGTGTTGGTGTCAAAAGGTTACATTTATACAATCCGGTCATTTCTTGAGTGAAAGAATATTTTTTGAAGAATCGGAAAACAAAAGTTTGAAGTATTCCATTCGGTATCCTGTCAAAACATGTGATACAAATATGACTTACGTAGACTTCAGTGATAGTTTAACAGTCAAAGAGAGCGCTCGCGTCAAAGAATGCATAGACACATTCGAGACGGATATGTTACGGGGACGTGGAGAAGAGGACGCTTTCAGGTCAAAAAGATGGTCGATTCACAACTACTTAACCAGGGATAGTCTTGTGATAGATGCAGGGGGGCACATTGGACTCGACGTGGAGGAATTCAACACACGCTTCCATCCTGGCACATACATTATTCTAGAACCAATTGAAATGTTCTATAACATGTTAAAGGTCAAATTTAGAACCTTTTCAAACATAATAATTTACAAGTTTGGAATTGACGCATTTGACGGTACGTTTTACGTTGATGAAAAGAATGATGGGTCATCAATATTCTTTAAAGACAAAAATGCTACAAGTGTCAAACAGGCAGCAAAAATTGTGAACGCTAAGAGATTTTTTGAGAAACTCTCGGTGCGAAGTCGCGACGTAGACCTAATCACAATGAACTGTGAGGGATGTGAATACGCAGTACTGGACCTTTTGCTTGCGACAGACTACATACATCACTTCCGGAACATTCAGTTCCAACCTCATAGAATTCCAAGAATCTGCTACCCCATCAAACGGTACTGTTGGTACCAAGAACTATTTCAAAAAACACATAAGCTTTCCTACCAGTTCAAATTTGTATGGGAGAGTTGGAGACGAATATAATTCTGTTTTCAATGTTCAAGTTTACCTTACTATGACCTGTTTATATTGGCATTGTGCTGACTTTCCAAGAAAGATTTATTGTTCAAACTTTTCAGCATGCACCACCAGTAAATTGGTATATGCTGGGTATCTAAGGGTATCGCCTGTGTATGTTGACGAACAGTTTGATGTTTTTATCATTAATTAGTGTTTTTAGGTATAATGCTTTTTCAACTCGTTTTCTTTTTGAAGCATTCGAATAGGAACTGTTGCGAAAATGTAAATATAGTGTATATTAAGATTTATTTTGATTTTGTATGTTTTCATGTGTAATAAGGTGTTGTTAGTCATTTTACATCTACACTCTACAGTGCCCTGTGGTTGACTACTTGATTTTTTTAAAATGTTATATCATAACCTACATATAAATCGTCTTTAGTATTCAGTTCCAGTGCGAAATTTAGTCTGTTTAGTGTTGAAGACACTTTTGTTACTGTTCAAGGCAAACAAACTACTAATCTTTGCCTGTTACTGTCAATCTTAGTTTTCTAACTCGAATATTAACATCGATTAAAAGTTTGGTAGTTTTTTCATAATTTCCATACCCTACATCACCAATTCGACTTCGATATTCGATTTCATTTAAGGTTCTTATTGTTGATGTGTCATGTCGTTAATTCCATTATGTTGTGATCATTTAGCAATTCTAATAAATTTGATTATTCACAATGATTTGTTTTCCTACATATTTGATATTCTTCACTGGAAGTTGTTTTATCCTGGACTTTGAAACCTAATTGGGTAATCCTGTCTTGAACTATGACAAGTCTGATTGTTACCCGTGTATACTGTTGTTTTAATGAATCTACATTTTATGTTTGAAGAGACCTCTTGTAATCGCACTTATGTATTGTTACTTTCTATCACTATTTTACGAGTTCCAAAGTTAAGATGAATTCACATGTGATATGTTACAATCATACATCGTTTAAAAATCATACAGGGTCTTCGAGTTGTAAGTGAACGAGACAGCGAGGTTTGAGCGTATTTACGAACACGTTAAAACAGGGGACCTAACTCAGATCCCTGTAGTACACCTACAATTCTTTTGACTAGCCATCGCTTTCAGAGCCAATTATTACCTGGCTTACAAATCTCATGAATCATAACGGAGGTCTCTGGTTTCATCATTGTCAGATTGTAACAAACACATTATGGGACCTTGTACAAGTTCATCATTATATCGGTGATGTACGTATTGGTATGCAGAACTTATTGGTAGCGATCAATCCATCTGCTAACAGATGTTTCTTTTGGTGAATCTTGGCATTTAATTCTAATATGTTGTAATGATGAATTAAATTAAGTAATCCAGTACCAATAAGATATAAGATATATCAACTTTACGTTTGGATTACATCGCAATTTGATGTTATATTCAGCAATTAATTTTAATAAAAACATGATACGTTGATCAGATCCAAGGATCAAAAGACGCCTACCCTTCCGGAATACCTGATATTTTTCTCCTTTGTTAATATCCATTAGTCTCCTTCAATATTTTCCCTAATGCCTTCAACTTGAGTTTTAATTAAGATTTTGTTCAAATATCATTATTTTCTTTGTTATTGTACGGTTTCTGTAGTGTGTGTATTGACATTATTATTGACACCTATGGTGTTTGCATGTTGCACTTTATTCAATAGGGCCTGTTCCCTGTATCACGATGTTCGTGCAAAAAGTCGTCGTAACTCAATGTTTCAAAAGAAAAGAAATTTTACAGTCATCATAGTGATCTCATTCAAAATATTCTTTTTGTTTGATAATTGTTAATTTCTGAATTTAATTGTGAATAAACTCACTATTACTTGTCGTAGCTCATTCGAATTCCAAGGCTTGTTACTGATATCTCAATATGGTAAAAGATTTAGCGAGCTTATAGATAACTTACAACATAGACTTTCTTGAGTCGGAATTGCAGGATCACAACTATCTAATTTTGAAATATAATGTTGCCTTGTGCTATTTGATGTTAAATATTGTTAGCTGTTCTCCTTTGAGAACCTGACCGTACTTTAAATTTATTTTGGGGATGGAAGCGATGAAATAGAGGATGCTTTCACTTCTGAAACACTTAATCTCAAAAATGTTGTATATTTCTTTCAGATCTGTGCGTTTGTTCATATACTTTGCCCTCATTTCATCAGTTTCGAGTAATGATTAATAGAAATGTCGGTACACTCTTGTTTTAAATCAACTTTTTTGCATTTTCTATGTATGTCTATTCATGTGTTGTTTTCGATTTGGTATTTTCAGATGAAGAATACACAATCGCAGGTGTTGTTCGTGGTGGTTGCATTTGCCACGGGTATGATATGCCAGTACACATATATGGTGCAGAACTGGCAAATGATGAGAGCTGAAGGAGGTGATCATTTCTCAAGTGAGAGAATATTTTTTGAGAATTTACCACGCGAGACATTATGGAACTTCCCTCGATATCCTCTGAGATCTTGTGATACAAATATGACTTACACAGATTTCAGTGGTAGGTTAACAGTCAATGAGTCCGCCCGTGTAAATGCATGCATTGCAACTTATGAAATGGAATTCCAGAAAGGACTACAACAAGAGCTGGAACAGAGGTCTATCCGATGGTCAAGTCATTCCTACTTAAACAAAGACAGTTTTGTGGTTGAGGCAGGAGGACACAACGGAATCGACTCGGAGGAATTCAACTCACGATATCATCCTGCCACCTACGTTGTTTTAGAACCGGTTGCAACTTTCTATGAAGTATTAAAAAAGAAATTTAAATCCTATCCTAACATGTTGATTTACAATTTTGGAATTGATGCTGTCGACGGTACTTTTTTCGTTGATGAAAAGAATGATGGGTCATCAATATTTTTTAATGAACAAAATGCTACAAGTGTCAAACAGGCAGCAAAAATTGTGAACGTTAAGAGATTTTTTGAGAAACTCTCGGTGCGAAGTCGCGACGTGGACCTAATCACAATGAACTGTGAGGGATGTGAGTACGCAGTACTGGACCTTCTTCTCTCTACAGACCTTATATATCACTTCCGAAACATCCAGTTCCAACCCCATAGAATTCCGAGAATCTGCTTCCCCGTCAAACGGTACTGTTGGTACCAAGAGCTTTTACGGAAAACACATAAACTTTCATTCCAGTTCAAATTTGTATGGGAGAGTTGGACCCTATCATAATTTTGCTGTAAGGATGTATGAAGGTCAGAATGACATGTAGATAGGGTATTATTAACTTCAAAAAGAATTCAAACGTTATGTGGTTGTGTCTTTACTGTCTCATCGTATGATTCTTATGATTAAGCTTGCTTTACATATGGACTGCATTATGTGACGGCGTGGTTGAATACACAGTGCGGTTAACGCGTCAACAAGTTTTCGGTTGCCATATTACTTTTCTTTATTAAAAATCTTAAAGCCTAAGATTTCTGCTCATTTTTCCTTTCCTCTTGGTTAAGAATGTCTAATGTTTTTCTACTCTTTTGTCTTCACTTTTAAATCCCATAATTACACATCAGATTCTGTTATGAAAGTGTGTAAATGAAACATGTTTTTGCGTAATTGAATATATTGAATGAGTTAATTATAGATAAGCTTGCGTATTTATGTATGCGTGTCAATGTTAAACGTATGTGGTGTGTTTATGTGTGAATCGCTTTAAGGATATATTATTTAGTGGTTGATACTGTGAATTGATTCGTTTTGTGTGATAATAATGTGAACCTAAAATATTTTTTAAACCAACAAAAACAGCTTTTATACTTTCCTCGACTCTTATGTCTTAGCCTATTGACAATTTTTTTTTTTCATTGGCGGAAAATAGATTTCTTAATTATAATAATAACGAAATAAGTAATTATAACTAATACTAATTATTATGCAAATGAAAGTAGTCATTATGCGACAACTGATCTGATTAAGTCAGATGATCTGACCTTACGGGGACATTGCATAAGGTTTACTTACCGACATATTTGTTATTTACATTTTAATCCAAACTCAATGGAATTATCTCCCTTTAACAAACCGTTTAGTTTCCAAGTACAAACAAAGGCAGAAACACAGCTGACAGTTAAAAGGATACATATTTTTCTAAATCTTAAATAAGCACCTGGGAGCTAGTCATTTTAGATACAAAAATATATAAATACTTATTTGAGGAAGCTTATGATAATTATGTTAGTAATTAACGAAACGTTTATGTAATGTAATACAAGGTTTGCTTGCCGAAATATTGTTTGTCAAAATCGGTATCCTAAACAACGTCCATCATTGAATGTCCCGCCTAGCAGTTTTAATTCTATTAAAAATGCAGATTCCATGCATCGATACATCGGTACTTCTTACCGTTTAGCTTATAACAAAAATGCAACCACCATCTCTGCTCGGTTACAGAAATATTCTTTAATATTTTACTATATCAGAACGCCTTCAAATGTTAAATTCTAGAACATTGTCAGTGTGGGATTTAAGCCATTTAAACGCACGTTTCTGATTGTTATGCAGTTTTGAACTCGTAAAATGAAATGAAAATGAATGTTTTCACATCACTTTTCCGAGCTTGTATTATCTTATTGTAGTGAAATGGAAGTGTTTTATTTAGAGACGGAATCACATTGAAAATAAATGTTATTCATGACAAAAACGAAAATGAAAAGTGAAATAATTTTATTTTCGATTGTTTGCTTTTGCTTCTAAAAATCAAGTTGAATCATAATATTTTCTTTCGATCCTCCTGAACTTCATACATTAAATTAAATTAATTAATTAAATTTAATTATTTAGGACTTGTATACGTTTATAAACACAATGCTGTATTTCATTTCCAATGTACACTTCAATTATCAGATATATGCAATAGTTTTTAAGCATAGTCTGATGTCGAATTAGAAACGACGTGAGATGCATCTCACATACTTTATCTTAATTGTGAAGTTGAGTGTTGCGCGACGCTTTTGTGATCTAATATTTGTACTGAAAAGACAATCCAAAGCCATTTGTTAGTTTTACTCGACAGTACAAGGATGTGAGGAATAACGAGCAAACACGAAGCTGTATGCTTAACTATGTATCATTTTTATTTTATTATAAATATGAAACCTGTCCTTGCAGAACTGGAAATAGTTATTGTTCAAGTTGATTGTTTCACGTTTATTTACTTTCACCTTTTTGTTAATAAAATATATTTCAATTTATTCCGAGTAAGAAGTTAGTGAACATTTCTCATTCACGATCATTGCATACAGATTAATCAGACTCTCTCAAAAACGATTGAACAAAAGCGACACACATTTCATTACTGATTAAGAATTTGATAAATATACTCAAAAAGTGAAATCTGCGCCAAACAGCTGTTCGGGTTTCAAAAGATGCAGGTTGATGAAAATTATTGGGAAGTTTTTAAGGTCGTCATCGTGATCTCTTTAAGAAATATTCTATTTTTGTGCGATACGAAGCGAGGCGTCTTTGGTGCTCGAAAGTTTGCCTGTTGGTTCCGTTGTTGTATACCTTGTTCTCATTTGCGAGCCTGACATTACTTGCTTGGATTGATCAAGATTTACATGGCGGATGTTGTCGACGAAGCAGAAGACACTTACTCTTTCAGAACACCTGGTCTTATTCTCCTTGTGCTTTTTCAGGAGTGTAAATAGTTCTTTTGTTCATATTTTGCCATAGCCTATAAAAAAACGAGTTTGGATTATGATTCTGTTGCATTTATGATATTTTCTTGTTTTTTCCAACTGAGCCCCCAAAAGCTGCTATAGCTTCTCATAAAGGGTCTTAGATATCGTTACACCTCGTCCTTTAATTGGAATCTGTATTTCAAGATACTTTTAGTCAGGGAATGGATGAAATGAGAGCGTGCTGAATAGGATTCACCTTCCGAGTGGGACAAATCGATCGGTCTATGATTCTTAAAAGAATTAGCAGCCTGCAATCTAAAAGGAAAACAAAACACAGGTTCGCGTCCTTCGATCCTGATATAATCTCCACATTTCAACATTTACATGACATGCATGTAATTGCGCGTGCAGATGTGGTGTCCAATAGCTTAATCCTTGTCTGTAGATATTGTTACATTTATTTTTTACTTTTAAAAAGACGTCTGGGACCTGATAATATCCAGGTAGACTCGTGTATTACTGATATCGTCAGCGTCGACAACATGGTAATATATTGGTGAAGCATCATCCTCCTCTAGGGCGCGAGTTTGTCTCGTAGTTATTCGACGTCATTTCAAAGCGAGAAAGACATCTGGCCTCTTGAAACTTTAAATACGATATTCAAATAGACTATGACTATGTCTAACCCTTCTAATAGAAAGCAAAGAAATATATAACTATATAAATATATAAGTTTATGAATATAACCAAGTCGAGCTACAAAGATAAATTATCACACCACATTCAGATGAACGAAAGTCGAAAGTTCAGGAATGGGTGACAAGTGTTCGTCTTCAGGGCATTTTACTTCTATTGCGATATCTACCATTTGTCTACCCAGAACAAGATAGATAATCAAAGACAAAAGACACAATACTAATTTAGAATTCCATAAGAGCCAGAAAGGATCTAACTGTGCCATTCCGTTTAGGAGTAACGTGACTTCACTATGTAAGGTATATATCCTATTCACGTCGGCTTGACTAAATTATTTGCGTGCTAAGTTATGTATACGTAAGTCACGCATGGAACATTTTTGGTAATTTTTGCGAAAGGTTTAGATCTATCGTTGTTCTTAAGCATCTGATACAGATTGTAATAAAGAAACACAAGTGCATAGCACCTTTTACTAATTTAGAGTTAGATAACATAGATCCAACAATGAATTAAATTACATCATACAATGGATTCTTCCTTCTATGTCTAGTCTGTGATGCCATGAGCCTCAATGTGTTTTCATCACTTGGCATTCATTAGTAAATTAATCATAGTCAAGTTGGCATTCATACGCCCATAAATACCATACCATCTGAAAGCAGTTGAATTCTTCAACAAAACTGACAGCCCATGTGTTGAATTTGGGTTGTAATGTTAAGTTTAAATGAAATAAAATAGAGGAAATAATCTTCGTAATTTAAAGATCTGAGTTAGAGAAATACTCTTTTTATACTAAATTTTTAGCGTCGATAGTGGTGTTTTGAATAACGCATGTCTGTAACTGAAAATTATTTCATGCAAAAGCATTTATCATAAATGATTTCCTAGGTGTAAATGTCGAACGTTAACTAAATGATGCGTCACAACATTTTTTTGTTTGATTGATTCGACAACAATGTCTGTGTGTCAAAGACAGGGTATACTATCGAACAACGTAATCAGATTATTTATGCTCGATAGCGATGAGAATTTACGGACATGCTTAACATTAGAGATCCCTTTGATACAAGTATAATAGGACGTACGGCTAACCAGGAATAAGTCACGGATGAACGTACAATAATGAGATATTTGGGGCTTTCCGCATATTTTGTGTGTACAGCGTTAAAATATTGCTTCGAAGTATATGATACAAGCACAGGAGACAGACTATGGTAAGTAATTGTATCTTCTTTTCTGGTCTTTGTTGTGTTTGTATTGTTATCGTGGATCGGAACAAAACATCCTGGTTTCGATACACTTTATTTAAGCCCAAGCATTATTTAACGTCTGTTATACATAAAAACGTGTCATCAAAATACTCGTTGAAATTTTACTTCATAAATATGATTTTGATATAAAACTGTGGAATATAAACATTCTTTCTTATTTCTGTGTATAATAATATAATAAACTCCTAGTCTATTGATCGGGTATATACTAGACTAGACGAAATTAACGCATGACAGCCCCTGTTTAACCTTAAACATCGATATCAATAGTAAAAATCTACAGGTAGGTGATTAGCATACGAATGAGGTATCAAATGGCGCGTTGTCTTTGCTGACAAATCTTATAAAGCCCAATAACACTTGTGCGAACAAGTAGCGTGCCCATAACACCATAGCATTATTTTCTAAAATAACCCTTACTTTAGATAAATTGAATTTTGTACGAAACATGTTACGATACTCCTATTTTCAATCATCTTATATCCATTATATCACATTTATGGTCATTAATGAAAACAGTGTTAAAGTCATATATCATATTCTTTGTACATTTTAATGGAAGTGTGCTATTCTAAAATTAGATGAAATACTTTGTCTTATGTATCGTAATGATAAATTGTATCTGATCTATATTTCAGAAAATGAAATTGTCGAAATCGTACATGATATCGTTGATGATAGTCGTTGCGGCCATGGGACTCTTGTGGCACTTTATCTATACTGAACAGAACAAGCGACAATCATTTGCTGAAGACATGCACAACATTAGTTCAGAGTACTCCATTCGGTATCCGGTCAGAAAATGTGATACAAATATGACTTACATAGACTTCAGTGATAGTTTAACAGCTAATGAGACGGCTCGTGTAGACACATGTATTGCAACCTACGAACAGGGCCTTCTGCGTGGAAAAGAATTAGAGAGATCACAAAGGTCACTCCGATGGGAGAGTCACTCTTACTTAAACAATAGGAGTTTTGTGATCGAGGCAGGGGGATTCAAAGGACTAGATGCGAAAAAGTTCAACGCACGCTATCATCCGGGCACATACGTTGTTTTAGAACCAGTAAAAGAATTCTATGACGTGTTAGTAAAGAAATTCCGAACCTCTCCCAACATGTTAATTTACAACTTTGGAATTGACGCGACCGATGGAGTATTTTATGTCAACGGTGCAAGGAGTCAAGGTTCGTCTATCTTTTTCAAAAACCAAAACAACAGCAGCAACAACAAGGCGGCAAAAATTGTGAATGTTAAGAGTTTTTTTGAGAAAATGTCAGTACGGAGTCGTGACGTTGACCTAATCACTCTTAACTGTGAGGGTTGTGAGTACGCAGTACTGGACCTTCTTCTTTCCACCGACTATATACGTCACTTCCGGAACATCCAATTCCAATCTCACAGAATTTCGAGAATCTGCTTCCCCATCAAACGGTTCTGTTGGTACCAAGAACTTTTGCAAAGAACTCATTATCTTACATTTCAGTTCAAATTTTTATGGGAGAATTGGCATCAGATTAAATCTTGATTTAACTGGTTACACTAGCATTATTCAAAATAATATGAATCAAGGCAAACTCATGTGAAGCGAGCATAGCATAATGTGTATGGTAGGCCTTTTACAATTTTATTTCCTGAAAAATACGAAACTAAAAAGTAGGATTGTAACTATGTACAATTTGTGTTAGCATAGTCACATTTTCAGGGCTTGTTTTGTTGTAACAGTTGTACTTACAAGAACAACGAAAAAAATGACTGTTTTTAAAATGATTATATATAAATGACATGAGAAATTAATTGTGATAAAAACAGGATCAACATTACAATAAAATGTACTCATACAATACAACCAAATTGTATTGTATGGTTCGATTGAATAGCATTATTTGGTAACATTTGATTGTATGATCACATTGTATTGTATGATCACATTGTATTGTATGACTGCATTGTATTGTATGATCACATTGTATTGTATGACTACATTGTATTGTATGATCACATTGTATTGTATGATCACATTGTATTGTATGACTGCATTGTATTGTATGATCACATTGTATTGTATGTCTACATTGTATTGTATGATCACATTGTATTGTATGACTACATTGTATTGTATGATCACATTGTATTGTATGATCACATTGTATTGTATGACTACATTGTATTGTATGATCACATTGTATTGTATGATCACATTGTATTGTATGTCTACATTGTATTGTATGATCACATTGTATTGTATGATCACATTGTATTGTATGATCACATTGTATTGTATGATCACATTGTATTGTATGTCTACATTGTATTGTATGATCACATTGTATTGTATGATCACATTGTATTGTATGATCACATTGTATTGTATGATCACATTGTATTGTATGATCACATTGTATTGTATGATCACATTGTATTGTATGACTACATTGTATTGTATGATCACATTGTATTGTATGATCACATTGTATTGTATGATCACATTGTATTGTATGACTACATTGTATTGTATGATCACATTGTATTGTATGATCACATTGTATTGTATGATCACATTGTATTGTATGATCACATTGTATTGTATGATCACATTGTATTGTATGATCACATTGTATTGTATGATCACATTGTATTGTATGACAACATTGTATTGTATGACTACATTGTATTGTATGTCTACATTGTATTGTATGATCACATTGTATTGTATGATCACATTGTATTGTTTGACTACATTGTATTGTATGATCACATTGTATTGTATGATCACATTGTATTGTATGATCACATTGTATTGTTTGACTACATTGTATTGTATGACTATATTTGACTGTATGATTACACTTTTTGTGCCGTTCCCGTATTTCCATGCAATAAAGAACAGCCATTAACATTAAAAACAAAAAGAAGTTATGAATTACAAGAAAACCATGTTACGTTGAATTTGTTAAAACAGACTTAAGATAGACAGACTTAAGATAGACAGTTGTTTCCTCAATTTACAGGCTTACAGAGTTATAATCATTCACCTGTTGATTGAGAAGTTAGATACCAGGCTTGTGGATATTCCACAGATGACAGATATCCATCTATTGCATGGTAATTTTTAGATATCTATTCCATTCTCGAAAAAAGCGAAAATAGAACTCTATGATCTTACCAACCTTTACAGTAACCCTCCGGCTTCCTGATCTGCAGATTATGGGACAGACAATCATAGCATTTGATAGCTTCATTAGTACCGCAATGGAATACTCATTGTTATCCAGAACTCTATGTCAGTCTCCAATAATTCTAAACATCGAGACTGATATCTAAATTATGACCCAGAAACTTCGAGAAAAGTCTTTGTAATGTCAAACGGTCAAGTAAAACATATTGACAATATAGTCGTTAATGGAATATTCTTGAACATTTTAGGATAATATTTACAAACACCAGTGGAAGTATTCTTGAACATCTTTGGGACAATGTAAAGATTCTTTATACACAACCAGGAATTTTAATATGTGACGTTTCGGTGACCAGTACGATCCGTACGCTGTCACCTTCCTCAGACAAATGACCAGTAAAGCATGTACACAAAGGTGTGATATGTGTACGAGTTGTCGTGGAATAGCGTCGATTTCGCGCTCATAGACTCTCGCACATCTATGACCAAGTAATAAAATAAGCGTAGCCGAATGGTTTTACTATTCGCTAACAGTCATTTCGGCACTTGTCAGCATGTCCGAAATCGACGCTATTCCACGGCAACTCGTACACATATCACACCTTTGTGTACATGCTTTACTGGTCATTTGTCTGAGGAAGGTGACAGCGTACGGATCGTACTGGTCACCGAAACGTCACATATTAAAATTCCTGGTTGTGTATAAAGAATCTTTACATAATCCTTACTTTCCAACCTGACGAAAATGTTCAGTATTATCTTTGGGACAATATTTACAAACACCAGTGGAAGTATTCTCGATCATCTTTGGCACAATCTTTACAATAAAACCATTGGTTAGATTACATAGGGTCAACGTAACGACATTAATAACAAGATGGTCCGCAGCTGGCAATATATCGCACGGATCTCGCCCCGACGTTCAGACGGAAGTCAATCGTGGGCAAGATTTGAACATGCTCAAAACATGTTCCGGGTAAGTTGCAAAAGTCTGCTTACAGATGTCCACGCAGAATATCAACAGCAGACCCATAGAATCTGGAACTTATAGCCAGTTTCACCACTTGAAGAAAAGTTTAGTATAAGTTGCTTCATAGACAATACTCGGCAATGTAAAATCTTGTCAATCCAAAAAAGGAGAGTCGTGGTCATTGGGAGTGTCACGAGGGAGTGGTTGGATACCGTGAGACACTGTTTACACTGAAATATTTCTCGCTAAGCATAGAGATTTGTTTGAGCGGATTCCATAAAGAGGTCAAGATTTTCTCACGTGCTTAAATATCGAATTATTTACACTTTCACGAGTTTATGAGAAATTCAATAAAAATAAGCAGTGATTCGAAATGCCCAAAATTTGTGCTAATATATGTTTTCTTGCTTATTACAGTGGAAATATAAGTGTAATGACAGAATTATTACATTTTTATAACTCTGTACTCAGGAATTTTCTCTTGAAACTCATATTCAACAAGATTCGCCGAAAAATCGATATTCTGATATGTTAATACTAAATAGATGTTAAATTTCGCGGGGCCAATAGTTCGCGGTTGTCCCAGTTTGGGCTAGTTCAAGGGTATTAAATTCCGCGCATTTCTATGATCCGATACACATGGATACAGACACAAACAGAAATTTCCATTCACTGAAGAAATTCGCTAGGTATAAATTATTGAACGTGAAATTAGCGGAAATAAATTCCACGCGAATATCGCCGACTATGCAGTATTCCCCATTAGGAAGACCTGTTTTCTTTTCTTTAAAAAATACAAACCGTGAGGGGTAAATGCCTCACAGATGAACGTGCATTGTTTGTGATTTTGTTTGTGCAGTTAATATTTTTTCTATATTTTCTATATAGTCGGTGTAATTATAAGTGGTCGGGTTTAATGGAAGCTTCACAGACTGAAGAGAATCTTGCAAATAAAACTTTATTGTTTATATCTACATATCACAAATTGATTGGTCAATCTTGAAACACGGAGTATATCCAGTAATGGAAATAACCGAAGCATGAATGTGACGTCACAGCGAGATCAGTTGTAATAATAGGACTGTTATAATGCGACATCGTCGGCCAAATTTATACATTATCGTGTAACGTGGATGTAGAATATAAACACTGTTGTAAGTATGGCTTTATTTCTTTTCTTTCGTTCTTCCTTTCTTATACATCTTTGACTTTTTATGATATTGTAAATATTACTTTTATCGATCAACTTCCGAGTCAAGCTAAACATATATCAAGCTTGATCGTTGATCGGTGTAAAATATGTGTGTTCAGTTAAACAATTGATATTTTATCAAAAGCCGGTATCGATAATGAACGTCCCATTCTTTTTGCTTACAAGCCGTAATGTCCTTGTGTAGCCTGGTAGAAATAGCATAGTGTTTAAGAAGTACAACACTAGTATCTAACCTATTATTAACATATCTAACGTTAGCGATAATCAAGTTAATTGCCTTGTTGGCCTTTTATGTTTACATATTTAAACGATACATAATGTTCTCATCTGATTGAACTATAAATAGTTAAATGCAAAATAAACGCAACCTATATGAAATGTCAGCATTTTAAAAATATGAATAAACTGTTTCTAGCCTATTTGACTAAAATGATACCACGCAGATTTCCAATCGGTTCACGGTTGACTGAACTCGGTCACACTACTTGTCGTACGCGCGATACACGACCATAGGGGTCTTCCCCGAACACCAACTGTATAAGACACAGAATTATCAAAGCATTTTATTACTTTCTGGAGTGTTTACCGCTTGGGCTTCTATACAGGAAAATGTGTCCCCCACAACCCCTGAAGAGGTGGTATCACAGCCTCCCCACAACCCCTGAAGAGGTGGTATCACAGCCTCCCCACAACCCCTGAAGAGGTGGTATCACAGCCTCCCCACAACCCCTGAAGAGGTGGTATCACAGCCTCCCCACAACCCCTGAAGAGGTGGTATCACAGCCTCCCCACAACCCCTGAAGAGGTGGTATCACAGCCTCCCCACAACCCCTGAAGAGGTGGTATCACAGCCTCCCCACAACCCCTGAAGAGGTGGTATCAGAGCCTCCCCACAACCCCTGAAGAGGTGGTATCACAGCCTCCCCACAACCCCTGAAGAGGTGGTATCACAGCCTCCCCACAACCCCTGAAGAGGTGGTATCACAGCCTCCCCACAACCCCTGAAGAGGTGGTATCACAGCCTCCCCACAACCCCTGAAGAGGTGGTATCACAGCCTCCCCACAACCCCTGAAGAGGTGGTATCACAGCCTCCCCACAACCCCTGAAGAGGTGGTATCACAGCCTATCTTTTTTAATAGTTTTATTAAAGAGACAATAGATGTTTT